ACACGTCCTTGGTGTTGTGTGGCGTCGTAAGAATCATGTGACAGAAAAAGGGGTCAGTCAGTCGCGTAGCAACCGCTTCTATAGTAGAAACGATACCATCCTTGACCTATTTCGATTGCTTTCCTCTAACACGTCGATCTCAGGTTGTGCGACCTCGGGTACGCACAAGCTCTTCCGAGTTGAAAGACATTTGGTACATTTGCTCCATCTGGTCGAATAAACTTTTAGTTGGTAAGTTATTCATGGATGCGAGCAAGATGATAAACACTTTTGGTTTTCGCCTTCTTGTATTTAATGGACCCCATTATTTGTTTCTTTTTTAGGGAAGGGGGCGAAGAATGAACCATAAGGTTTCGTAGTACTTGGACACTTCCGTCGATCTGATTAATTCAAGGACAAATTATCAAAATGTATCATCATAAACCCAATCCAGAAGCACAGAGTCATGGGTTCCGTAATGTTCAACAATTGATCCAAAAAGACGGTTATAAGATCACTTTGTTCAACATCAGTCTTTGGCTCACCTGTTGAGACAACGCTCGACTTTCGTTTTTGCTTTTCAACGAACTGACTATACTGGCGATCGGGTGATCCACATAAATCGCTCCAACGTCCGGTTTCGCTGCATCATCCAGTTCATCTTCTAGTTTCTTCAGTTTTCGCAAAGATTCAATCAATGTCTCGGGCTGGAATGCGCAAGATGAGAAATATTATATACTTCGAGTGATATAAGTTCGTTACTTGTTTCTACTATGGGCACGTTATGGTAAATGGAATTTCTTATCTATCCTCAGTTTAGCTACTGATTAGTAGTATCACTGAAAACAAAACACCATTAAACGCGTGCTGAACGATCCGGTGTGACTCGAGAATGTAGACTGAGTAATGGGACTTTTCCGGTCGAGAAAATAAAACACACTGGGAAATTTTGCCCGAACATATAAAAATTACATATTCGGCCACTTTCTTCCAGTCAGTTCAATGCAATTTAAATACTAGAGTCGGCGAACAACTGAACAGCAAACTGCACTAGCTGATTTGGATTCCGGGATTTCGCCAACCCAGTCATGAAAAGCGAGAAACGATAACGGGATAGAACCGAGGAGAAAACGATTTGTTTAGGCAGACTAAAGCATTAGGACAAAAACGATAAAACCCAGCCAGGATAAGAGACTAGGTAGATGATTTTTTTTCCCATCTTCACTAGATTTCTTCCGTGCGCCAAGTGAACGATAGCAAAGAAAATCAGAATGCACACAAAAAGGTTGCTTGAAACCGATAACTGCTTGAGTGTGGTTTCAGTGTCAGTTTCACTTTTTACACACATTAACCATGCACTTCCGTGCACAGGTTTTGATTGCTATTTTTTGACTGCCCATTTCGACTAACAGTAGGAGAAAAACAGGAAAGTTGAAAGTAGAGTTGAAAAGAAAAAGGAAAATTTCAGTGGACTAGTGTTGCAGAGAAATTGAGATGCACGAACGCCACTGTTTACGACACTCAGGCATATCATTCAGTGTCTCTAACCATCGGGTACGAACATACCGGGGGCCCCAGCCAGGGAGCTTGACGGTTTTCATTGCCTCATGCTACGTCTTAGTGTTACCACCCAACAATTGTCTCGGCAAACATCGAACGCCGTGGTAACCTGTTTAGTGACATGCGCAACACATGCCCCAACCAATGAAGTCTATGGAGGTCGACCAATTGCTCCAGTGGGTGACCGCTGTTACCTAAAACTCTACGCCCAACCTCAGCATTGCTCGTCCGGTTGCCCCACCAGATTCGTGCAATGCGACGTAGACAGCGGTGTTCAAACACCGGCGGTCTACCTTTATCCTGTTTTCTTAATGGCCACGTTTCTGCGCCGTATAGCAGAACTGGCCGAACTGCCGCGGCATACACTCGACCCTTCACAGTTAGTAAGATGTCACGACGGCGGCCCAGATGTCTCCAGTTAGCAAATGCCCATCGAGCCTTCTGTATGCGGGCTGACACTTCATCCGTGATGCGTCCACCGCGTGAGATATAGCTGTCCAGATAACAAAACTTATCCACTGACTCTATTACGTCCCCAGTTAGAGTGAGGCTGGGTGCTGGAACAACCCAGTCTTGTAGCAACATTTTACAACTTGAAAAAAATGCTTGAGTGTGGACAAGGTAGAGGTCAACCTGACTGATAAAAAATATATGGAGTAGAAAGCAAAAAGAGAACTCACATTGAAATTCTTCGCTGCTTCTTCTGTGTCGGGAGCAGACGATACCGGATACCCTTTGCTCTGATCCTGACCATATGGAGCTGGTGTTTGTAAGATAAAGTTATGAGTCCACACCGTGTAAAAATACATACCGATATTGTTGAGCAACTGCTGAACAAATTTGGGTTCAAAAATTTTGTGATGAGACCAGTAGTTGAACAACTTGGACAGTTTTGGAATCATGTGCCCCGGTCTAGAATGTTGAGCAGTTAGGCTAAGTCGACCGGTACCTCAAGTGGCAAACCGCTTCCGTCACGAACGGTTTCAGGGTGTCTTTGAATTCCGGCACGCCATACTTGGAACACTTAGTAAGTATCTCATTGGCAACATAAAGCAAAGCTAATTGGGATGCTGGATAGACGGCTGCAGAAAGAAGAAAGAAACAATTAAAAATAAATAATGAAAGATACTGCAAGTTTTATGCATAAAACCAAAATCCGTGAAACCGTCTCGAAAATCATTTCCAACAATGGTTTAACGTGTTTCAGAGATTCTATTTAGCACCCAAAACAGGACACAGGAGACAATTTCACTAAGTGAACATTAACAATAATGAGGGCAATCTTTAACCCTCTCTGTACTTAATATCCAATATTAGTGACAACATTTATGAAGGGAAATGCGGCTGAACGGTGGCTGTAGCGGAATTTCGGACGGTGAGTGGGATGTAAATACGACCTTTGGGTCACATTGGCAATGACGTGCACTCCTTCATTATCATCATCATTCAGCCTCCAAAAGCCTCAGTATGGTCGGGGATGGGTGTCTAGGGTTGCGGCTGGTCACCCTCCTTTGTACCTCGCGAAATGCGTCCATACGACCAAACGTCTCAAACAGCCTCTACTGAGGAATTCCTACTCACTGCTTCCCCGTGGTCGAGGTGTTTTCCCACCAAACGGAGAGGACAAAAGGCCGACATCCGGGGCTATAACCGAATTGGTGGACCACTGGTAGTTCACCTAAGGGAGTTGGCCGAAAACCCCGATTCCAAACCAACCAAGAGGAGGTGTACGAACCACATACACTTTC